CTCATTTCTTTAGAAAAGCCCCACTACTTCAAAAGATTAAATGCTTCAAAAAATCATCGAATGCAGGCTCGACATCAATCGGTCGACGATCAATCAATGCGTTTCCCCCGAGGCAAGAAACTTTTTTACGGTACCATGGCAAGTTTTTCTATGCTGGTGCACTTAACGATGTAACGAGTCAACTGCCCCACGAATGGATTAACATGCGCTGAGTATCATGCTTCAACCATTGACCGTGATGCCTTCTCACGAGGTCCAATTCTGGATTTTCTCAATAAGGGTATGGCCGCCAACTCGCGATCGACCGCGAAATACAGCGCGCCAGGCAGCGAAAGCCTATGTAGCGGACCTCTGACTAAAGAACTGAAGATTCTGAACTAGTTTGCTCGGACGAAAGCTTCAGAGTGGCTATTGACAGCGTATAAATAGACTTTGGACCCATTACTTACCACATTGGGGTATTGTATCCAGCCGACAGCCCGCGGACTTGGACGGGTCGCGCGGCCCCCGAAACGGCGCGCGAGAAAAGAAATAACGATAAAAAACGAAACATGTGCAAATGCTTCCTAGTTGGGTGAAGGCGCATTGTCAGCAGCTTTCTCATATTTCGGGACCCGACCTCGCCTCTGCCGACAACAAATTCAAGTTCTCACAATCTTTGTTGTACACTCATCGGCTCCCGCGTCGTCCGCTTGCACACCGAGGACTCGCCTACGAGATCGACGAGTGGTAGCCCCCAAAGGACCCTTGCCACAGGCCTATCGCTTAGCGGAGGGAGAGACATGGATGACAGCCAGCTGGACGCCAGCGGCCATGAGGATGGGCCTGACGATGCGCCAGAAGAAGCGCCTGAGCCGTCTTCAGCGAATCCTCAGATTGCCATTCGCAGGGCTGTAAGTGACGCAGATGGCCTTTGAAGATTTACATTGAACTGACTGGAATAATCAGTGTGACGCTTGCCGTGCTCGTAAGGTGAGTTGGTTTGCTTGTTAAGAGCCATTTACACCGTTTACTTGTCCCTGCCGCCCGGAGTTAGCGACGACGAGGCTTCGCAACTATCTAATCTTGGCGCAATGGGGGTTTAAACGAAGCAGACACTGACCTGGATTTAGATCCGCTGCAATAGAGAATCGCCTTGTTCATATTGCACGCACGCCAAGATCGAGTGTACACATGCCGACAACAAGCCCAAGGAAAAACGGACCAGAATTCTCATCACCCCACAATAGTAAGCATGCATAGCACTGAACACAGTATTCGCCTTCTAGCAGCCCATCACGATGTGCTATCCTTACACTAGGCTAAAGCTTCAAATAGCTTGCCGTGCAGTCTTAACTAACATGTTCGACTTAGTGAGCGCAAAATTGATCAGATTGACCGTCGGCTCGAGACGGTCATCCGCCTCCTGCAGGACATGAAAGTCAATCCATCTTCTAATAGTAATACAAGTCGAGCCGAGCTACTCAATTTCGCAATGGCTACAGCCGCCACGCCTCAAGTCGAAGGCCCACCATGCTCAGCTCAACGCGTCTCATCTACTTCAACACCTGCCACTACGGCAAGCCACACCCTACAATCAGACGAAGGCGAAGGCGGCATTGTTGAGGGCGACTCTTCTCTTGCGGCGCATTCTGTGTTTGCTACCGAGTTTTTGCAAAAGGTCGTGAGCACAGAGTCACTGCAGGACTCAAGTCTAGATCTTGGCGAGACTCTAGATGCATTATCACAAATCGTCAATGCGTTGAAGCAACCGGCCGCCGCGGGGGAGATGACATATCCTCACGCGAAGCCATTTACGCGGGTTCGTGCCCAAGGAATTGAGTTACCGCCTATAGAAAAAGCTGTGCACACTATTAGAATCGCAAAGAGTAAGCACGGTAGAAAAGACTTGTGCACGCTCGGTTTCTCCTGCTAACCGGACGATATTGTCTTAGGTCAACGCCTCACGGGCATGGCCTGGATATACGATTTTCTGCCTTCCCGTCGGTTCCCGGATCTTTGCCTTAATGTCTACTTTTCAGACAACTACTCGGAATATGATTACATCACTGTGAACGGAGGCCTCTATTCGCTGTTCACGGACTACGCCGCGCAAGTATCAGTTGATGAACAGAAAGAGTACTTCGAATACGCCAAGTAAGTACAACTGATGAAAACTTCGTCTGCAAGTCGACACAGAACTGACTATTTGCAGGATTTGCCGCGTGAATCTGGAAACATGTTTAGCAAATCTTCCGCTCCATCTGCCGGCATCTTCTGATGTAATTGTCGCGCTTCTTTTCGGAGTAAGTCTCGTCTTCGACGTCATCGAGCGATTGATTGGGGCTAACTCCTTTGAAGACTTTCCATGCTGTTGAAATCTCAAAACCTACGCTCGCTTGGACACTGTCTTCCAAAGCATCAGAACTATGTCAAACGCTTGGATATCATCGAGCAGAGTCTCTTAAGAACACAAAGGACGATGGTAAGCCCACTGTTCATGGGATGCACTGGCATCAGTTCCTCTTCTGGAACGTCTATTACATCGACAAGAGTCTTTCGCTTCGCCTGGGCAGAGCATCGACAATTCCGGACTGGCACATCACCATGCCTCTACCATCATTGAAAGAGCCGGTTGCAAGTCCGATACTACCATATTTAGTATTGTGGATTCGAACAGCGAAGTGTCAGGGTCAAATCTATGAGCTGCTTTACAGCCCCGACTCGATGATCCAACCGTATCACGTTCGCCAGACGCGGGTGCATGAACTAGTCTCCCTTCTCCACGACATCGATCAGAAGACGCAGGAAACCACTGTAAGTCCGAGGTAATCTTTGGATCCTGGATACCTTGACTCACGGAATGAAGGCCAATTATCAGGCATTTGCCAAAGACGGGGTAGAGGAGCATTTTGCAGAGTTCTACCTGTCTTCAGATTACGTTCTGCGGCTGTCACTTCTTACTCTAGTTTACCGGGCTGCCCCAAGAGTTGAAGGGTCGCCAACGACATTCAGTCCTGAATGCATCAAGGCTGCACGAGCAGCACTGGAAAAGCACCAAGAATGCGTTGCCATCATGCGCAAGTCCCACGATGTTTACTTTGCAACCTACATTCACTGGTCAGTCAAACTAACACTCATATGATGTACCGCTTTCTAACACAAACTTTTCTACATCCAGGACTGTGCTTTTCGCACCATTCATCCCCTTCATCGTTCTCTTCTGTCAGGTAATTGAGACCCAAGACAAGGAAGACCTGGCACGACTGCATTCTTTCGTGGTGTTCTTGCAAGAGACATCAAAGATGTCCGACGCAGCGGCCAAGATGTGCCGCCTCTTCCAAGTCCTCTACAGCGTCGCGCTTCGTTTCGTTGAATTCCGCGCGTCAACGCCTCAGTCGCGACAGACGCAGGCCAGCGCCGAGATGGACGCTTACTTAGCAGCCTTGGGATTCCCACCAAAAGGGGCCGAAGGGGGTCAGCATCCGCAGCAGCAGCAACCCACCGCGTTTGCCCAGATGACAAGCACTGCGCCAGACGTGGTCCCAACGTCTGGAATCGCGGGCGTCGGAATCGATGCCATGGACGAGAGCTTGAGGCCCGGTAACCCAATGATGTGGATGACGAATGCCGCTCAATTGGAAGACTTCTTCTACACTAATACGGCGATGATGGACCTATTACAAGAGCCCGGATTCGAAGCAACTCAACAGCACTAGAAGCTCGAACCACGCCGGAAAGGTAAAGCGAAGGCTGTCCGACATGACTCTGAGCGATACAACTTCAGGACTAGCCCCTACTCACTTGAGTACGAGAGAAGCGCTGAGAGAGCGCAGGGTCGAGGCTTAGAGAAGGGGAAGAGAAGGGCACAAAGTGATAGAAGGCAACGATTGAGCCCATTAGTCTGGTCGCATGTTGGGCCACACAAAACCTTTCGTGGAGAGGTCGTGTCACTCTGAGACCGTCCCGCTGTGAGGAGGCGGCCGTAGAAGCCAAGTCTGCACGTGATTCTCCCCTCAATTTTGAATATTTATTGCCTCACTTGTGACTAGCTCCAACATCATGAACACAATCTCGAGCTCCCGTCAAAGAAGAAACCGAGCGTGCGACTGATTTCGCACTAAATTCCAATATCATCAGAATATCATGGATTTCGAGTCTGAGTCTAAGCCTGTCCTTCTGAGTGCGCTTCTTCAGTGGTGTGATCGGGTGAAGAGTGACCGCGAAGTCCTGCAAAGGTGTAAGAGAAGCCTCGATGATGCAGGCCTGCGGGAATTGGAGGTGAAGGATGGGTGTCCATTCTGTACACTTCTCGACGAAGCAGCCTCAAAGCTGTATGGCGACTACCTTTCTGCTGGCAGATCACTTGGATGGGTGTCATTCCCGCGTGTTCTAGAGGCTATCCGTGATGATGGGGGAAATCCACTTCGGTTTTGTGTATCCGAACGTAAGTAAACCGAGTCGTTATCGTAAGATTAAGTTGCCAGATCCCAATTGGAACTCAATACCCGGATAGCTGAGTGGCTAATGAAGTTGAGCTAGATACCGACTTGACTGAACGTTTACGCCCATTCCCGACCTTGGGATTCGGCAACTGGCATCTGTCCAAGTATAAGTCTATCTCCCGGGATACTGCCTCAGAATCGACCCTAAAGATAGTGAAGGAATGGCTCCTTTACTGTGCAACAGACCATCCGCTATGTAGTAAGGATGGTAAGGTCAAGCTGCCGACTAGGCTTATTTGCATTGGCAGAAAGGCGTCTGAAGTACGTTTGCTCAAGACGAATGGTGCTACTGGCAAATACGCCTGCCTGAGCCACCCTTGGGGCAAGCGTCCATTGTTGCGAACACTGAAGAAGAATCTCTCTCAATTCACCAATGAAATCCAGTGGTCAGGTCTTCCTCCCACTTTCAGAGACGCAATCGACTTTACCCACCGACTTGGCCTCAAGTATATCTGGATCGATTCCCTTTGCATCATTCAGGATGATCCTCTCGACTGGCAGAGAGAGGCCGCCAAAATGGCCGACATTTATCAGAATGCCTACATAACGCTCGCAGCTTCCAAAGCAGTCGACTCCAGCCGCGGGCTTTACACCTCTTCCTTGGATCCTAAACATCAATCGCACCAGCTGTCACTCATGAATGATGTGGATGATTCAGATCTCAAACTATACGCGTATTCGGAATTGCTACATATTGATAGCTTCTGGTCCTACTTCCCTATCACAAAACGGGCGTGGGTGTTTCAGGAACGTCTGCTCTCAGGTAGAGTTGTACACTTTGCCGGTTCTGAATTGAATTGGGAATGTCGCTCGGCGAGGACATGCGAGTGCGGTGAGATCTCAACCTCCACCTCTTTGCCTGAGAAGATCCAGTTCTCAGGTAGTTTGGCCGAGTTGAGTGGGCAGTACAATTGGATTGCAGAAGGACTGCCACCCTCAGCACCAGGAAATGGCCAAGACAAAAATCTGGACTACAGCAAGTTTACCCCGGCACTACTCCATTCGCCCAAGTGGACCAAAAGCGTCAAAACGTGGCGACAAACAGTACAGTCTTACTGTGCTCTGAACTTGACATTTTCAAAGGACATCTTCCCGGCTTTGGCCGGCATTGCAAAAGTGTGGAATCCCGATTACGAGAAACTCTATCGAGCGGGGCTATGGATGGACTCGTTACATCTAGATCTTTTGTGGCTCGTCTATAAACCTGAAAAGCGTCCTATTGCATGGAGGGCCCCGACATGGTCGTGGGCATCTCTTGAGTACCACAACGACGACTTTATTCGCTTCGACTCTGACTCAGATTGCAGAAACTCTGGCAAGGGCAGCTGGTTCTCGTTGGGGATGATAGGGAGCGAAGATTACTCTCCTGTTGCAGATATTCTGGAAGCAGTTTGCGTTCCAGCTGGTATTGTCGATCCAACTGGAGAGCTTGACTCTGCCTACCTTCTACTTTCAACTTTTGCGATCTCCGGAACACTCGTGAAATGGCCGGGAGTACTCGTTGAATATGGTGTCAGTCCTATCTGGCTCGTTGTCGGGAACTTATGGATTAGCCAAGGCGACAGCCATACTAGGGGCTTGCATTTGGACGCTCCGATCATTGACGCGAATTCCGGGTGGTCGATTCCCGTTCGCATTATTCGCATAACGGATTTCGGTGCCAACACAGGCAAACATCCTGATATGGCCTGTCTGGTGATCCGATCAAAACGAGCCGCAACCGCAGATGGACACATTGAGTATGAACGTCTTGGTTACGTCCGATTTGTAGAACAAGGATTCTCACAAGTGCCGGCCATCCCGAACGAACATTCAACTCTAGAGCCCAGCATTCGAGATTGGTTAATAAGATATCGGGAATATATCAAAGGGAAACATACGCGGGATCTGGGCGTATCGAATCTGGGGCGTCTGAAAGATTGTTTCGAAAAATCAGGGCGTGAGATTTTCAAGATTGTGTAGTTATCTAAGCGTTTGTCCTTCACACTGGTACTTATTATGACCTTGCGAAGAGATATGATTGAGGTGGTCACTATGGAACAAGTAACATTGCTGGTATTCTAAGTTACAGTATGATCTCATCCGTGATTCGAAGTTATGTCAAAAACAAAGTAACGAATGTCTCAATACTTATGGATCAGTAGATTGTGATCGATGTCTCGGGCTTTGCAGCTGCCCAGACGTTTCGATACCAGATCTGCCTTTCAGCCCAATCATCGCAAATAACCTCCAATAACCCTACTCTGATGTAAGAACTTGTCGCGTCCTTGGCAACAATGAGAAAAGAATCCCGTGTGCCTTTTGTCCGTGCATTCCTGCTGCCCAAACCATAACCTTTGATGTAGATCAACTCAGCAGGAAGAAAGGTGCAATGCCTACACAATTCCGGGAATTCTTCAGGTCGGCTATTGCGTATGAAGCAGGAATTCATTCGCTCAACTGAAGGGTCAACCCATACCTCCGATTCCGCAGTCCCAAACTCAAGTGGTGCCTCACCAGTCACAGGCGCACGTTCTTCCCGAAACTCTCGCTTGTCTTCCCGGGCATAAAGCAGATACCTGCCGTATATCCAATTTGTCCAACGTCGCTTCCGATCCCAGTGTGAGCACGGTCGCTGTATCATGATAGACAGGCGCTTTATCACCGCTGTCAGGAAGCCAAAGGACACCGAGCCATAGAGGTCAGCCCCAGAAGGTGAACAGCTTATCTGGGCTGTTTCCATAATCCCGGGAGTCTTGTAGTCCAATAACTCGGCATTCTGAAACGTAGGATAGTCTACTTTGCAGCCACTTCCTGTGGATGCCCAAGACCAAGTCGGGGCGATCCATCCTCGTTTTAGTATCTTCGCGCGTTGCTTCTTCCAATCCGCCACAGTAACAACGCGCCACATGAGGTCCTGTTCAAGATTATTCTTCCACATACCAGCCAGATAGGTATCATTTGTCACTTCAGCAGTCTCATGAGCAAGGCCTGAAAGTGCCGGGAGCATATCTCCAGTGAACGTAAGATTGAGGCAGGTATACTCGCCGATAACGCGGTGCCATCTCTCATAAGGATCGATTTTCCCATTCTTCGTGGCGATGGCGGTTATTGAAGTTGTCATAGGGTTATTCAGCAGTGCCAGGTACTTCGACCGAGATCGTAGCGGTATATATGTGCCGGAGAACCGTATCAAATTGTGCCAATTCTGGTGTTGCTCTCCTCCGCACTCGCATGAGTACCCGTTGGCACAGTCAAATGCCATTTCTCCATAGTTGCAATGGATGATCCGCCGCGAGAGAAGACGTTCCTGAAGACACCAAGCCCTATTGAAAAGGGGGAAATACTCTTGTACCCTGGCGTATTCCGACATTTCGTCCCGCTTTTCACCGGTTATCAAGGCGAGTCTGAATTCGTCGCCACATTCAGTAGTGATCTGAAAGAACTGGCTTGGAATTGTCTTTGAGTAGCAGCCTCCCTCAGAATCATGAGACCAGCTTACGGCAATTGTGGCGTATGAGTTGCGGTACACGTTGACCATCTGAGCTGCCTCTTTCTCCCAATCTATCTTGTCATCTTGGATGATGCAAAGTGAGTCAATCCAGAGATAGCGAACCCCGAGATTCCTCGTGATCTCGACTGCCTGTTGGAAGCTGGGTGGAAGCAAAGACCAAGGTATTGACTCGAGTTGCCTTTTCAGATTGTCGGTTTCCGTTTTGCATTTGATCTTGATCTTTCCCCAGCAGTGGCTCAGACACATGTATGTGCCTATTTGTCCAGCTGTAACTACTAGATGGACTCCAAGTTTGTCTCCGAGCTGAGTCACATCAACGAGCCTCGTAGGCAATTTCATGTCTCTTCCCGTGCCACATTTGTTGTGTAGTTCGCAGTCATTGATCCAAGTCCGAATTCTCTGCAAGCTTAGATCGGAAGAGGTATCCCCAGCCACGCCGTTGGTGGATTGTAATCGGCGAAAGACATTGCTGGACCCCGCCACGTTGAAAAGTCTGACATAGTACACTTTGCCATCGGGAGCATCCATTTCTAGAGTGCCACTGAATTTTCCCGTCCAGCGGAATGTCGTAGAGGGGGCAATTGGACCAAAGTTCTTGGTAAGTGCGCTATCGAACATAGTGTTCAGAGCCTTGCAGCTCCCACAGCCATTCTGGGCTGAGTGATTCAAGTCCCCGTACGTGAAAGACTTTCCTCGAGCAACCTTTTTCTTCCCGTGATTAGTAAAGTTGTCATGTTCTACCCTCAGTTTCGCTGTGCCCGCTCGGGATAATGTGCTCCATGAATCGAAAATGGCGCACTGGACTGAGCATCCTGTTGTTCCGAGCACGTGAAAGAAATCAAACGATTCTGGTTTCGTACCTCTCCCGGAGCGTTTTTTAAGAGCGTGCTCTAGGGAGATCGGCACTATCTGAACTGCCATCTTAATGAGGTATTGGGTTCGCGTTGATGCTTTTTGAGAAAGTTGACCCAGAAGATCTGAAGATCGGTCGGAAAACCAAAGTCAGGTCATAGACCTAGCCGGTTACACGCCTCAATTCTTTTCAAGCCATCTGCATATGCAGAGCTCAAAATCTGAAACCGAAATAAGCGCTAAAAACCAGGCGTCCAGTGACAGCTTCCAACCCACCTCGGCTAGGCAGCATTGCGCCTCACCGAGATTCTATGTCGTCTCTAAGTGGAATAATGCTGCCTGATCTCTCCGACTCAAGGCTTCCGTTGTATGCAGAAACACAAAACTCAAAGTTCCAAGCGCCTGGCATCAGAAATGCAATACCATATTCCGCAAATTCAGTTTCTCCGTCTTCTTCGAAGTCCGATCTCTCGACTAGGTTCCGCACCCACACGCGATATCCCGCTGCGCCCTTCGACTCTTCCCACTTTAGGTGCACGGTGATGGAATTCTGAACCTCAACTTGGAGCTGAGTTGGAGTCGGTGGCTTGCCATTGCCAGCAATGAAGCTCCGGCCTCCTGCCGGAATACCACCTCCGTAGTTTGTCCAAGTACTGATCGCCAACCCATACCGATGGCCTGCCGATAGGTCGGTGAATGTTGTCGCAGTTTCTCTCAGCGCCATAGCAGTCGGAAAAGATCCCGGTAATGAGAGGTCTACGAGGATGATCTCGTATCGGTCCACTTCGATTTGCCCCTGAGGCTCTTCCCATTTGACAAGGACCTGATACAGGTCAGGTTTGGTGATGATCTTCCTAGGCCCCGGAGCTGTTTTCGGGTGAGCAGTTGCTGATACCGTATGAGACCAGGCGGACCTAAGGCCCTCTCCATTAAAGGTCCGGACTTGGTACTGATACTCCTGCCCTTCTTGGGTCCACGTCGAGTTGTACTGGGCTACATCTGTTCTCGACTCCTTCCATGGCAGGTTGTCATTATTGCGAATTCTGACATCATAGCCGATAGCGCCGTACACCGGATCCCATTTAACAGAAATTCCGTAGGGAACTGCTTCCGCGACAACATTCGCCGGCACTGGCGTCGGTCTTTGTGGGATCTCTTGTGGAATAGTGAGATCTTGGTTTCCAATGCGAAACTTTCGGGACAAAGTCCGAGAGAAGGCTCTTGCAATCTGAAATTCGCCCAAAGCATTTGGATGTAATCCATCGTAACTTCCTTGGGAACAATGGTATCCACGCCGAACCTCCACCAACTCAACCGGAGACTCAGAGGATGACCACTTTGGCACTGATGTTCGTAGAAGCTGGTTGTACTCTTCCACCATGGCAGGAAGTTTCTCTGCCCCATCAATTGGCGTCCGCATCGGTACGTCAGCAAGAGCGAAGTTGATATCTGATTTCGCAGTGCGTGCATTATCCACGAGTTTCTTCATGGCACCGAGAGTATTTTCGGCATCCGCGACACCCCAGCCCATGTCGTTGAAGCCAAGCATAACAAGCAGATAGTCAGGCCTGAATCGCGCCACCTGCTCCTCGATGAGGTCTTTACACTGTGTTGCTTGGCGACCCCAAACTGAGAAGTGGTGAGAGTTGAAGTGCACGCCTGCAGCATAGCCGCCATGGTCTATTGGCATGTCAGGTGCTGGTAGCGGGTCGTCTTTCAGAGCCGGTGGTTGCGGTGGACGAGGTTGATCCGGAGTCTTTGTTCCTTCATACGGACCAACAAATTCAAAGTTGATCTTCTCTTCTGTGAGCCACTGCCATAGCCTATATCGCCATGCAAAGTCCCCTTCACGGCCTTGAGACATGGAGTCGCCGACTACCATGGTCCGAACTGGCCGGGTGCTCTCTGGAATCATGTCACCCGTTTGAAAACTGCAATTGGGGCCTTGCGTCGGTTGGCGGGAGATGGAAATCGATCTCTGTCTGAAAGAGTCATCGGCGAACTCTCATTTTTTGGCTCAATGTCAGACGTAGTGTTGCGAAGTGCAGGTCGCGGCACTGAGGAGAAGCTTTGGTGTCGTCATAGCACGGACGCCGACATCAGCGAATCGCATTCAAGTGCCATTCGAATGAGAAGCGTTTGCTCAATCGTCCTCGACTTCTTGACTAATGTGGAGATCGACTTACCACTGTACTTAGCTCTAGATCCAGCAAGGGTGAGTTCAATGTTTTTAGCGTGCTAGGCCTTAAGCACGTTGACCCTTGTGCAGTTAAGCAGGGTCAGCCCAGGCAGATCTACCTGACAGTTCTCCTGAATGTGGGGTGTCTAAGGACAGAGAATCTGCATCTCACCGACCTTACTCGTTTAGGGCAGAACCACAACGTACCCTACCGTCATAGTGCAAATTCTTCAAGTTCAAGGCATCGTCATCCGATATGGTGTAGTGGCCAACATGATGCCCTCTCACCTCTTTGAGAGGTTAGGCATAGCCCCGAGTTCGATTCTCGGTTTCGGAAATCGTTTGCTTTTGCGGTACATACAGTTTTGTCTTGAGGCATAAGTGCCAAAATGGGCGTTACATTCACAAGTCCCAGACTCTGATGTCCTGAGGACGTTGGGTTGAGGGCTCCATTTTCGGCTTCGCAATTTTTCATTGATACTCCAGACTGTCTGTTCGATGTCTCCAAGCACACTCTTTGCCGTAATACAGCCAACAAAATCCATAGATGTTTGTCCCATGCTGTCACGAGCCGTTGCCTTGCTTCTGCTTCTCCGTACAAAACTTCCTCTCGATTTCCCTACTCTTTGGAAATAATGTGCGGGTTTGTCGGCGGGCCGTATGCATCAACAACAGCATCCTTCTTGGAGATGATGTGAGGGTTCGTGGGAGGACCGTAAGCTTCGACCGCGTCTCTCTTGGTATCAACGGCGGGAATATGCGGGTTCAGAGGAGGACCGTAAGCTTCAACAACTGAGTCCTTCTTTGAGACGATATGAGGGTTGGTAGGAGGGCCGTAAGCCTCGACGGCATCTTTCTTCGAGATGATATGAGGGTTGACGGGAGGACCATAGGCTTCGATCGTGTTTTCTCTCTTGGACTCAACGGCCGGAATGTGAGGGTTGAGGGGAGGGCCGTATGCCTCAACGGCAACCGGCGCGGCGTAAGCCAACGAAGCGCAAGCGGCGACAGTGGTAAGAAGGGTTTGGACACGCATTTTGATGTAGAACGAGAAGAACGGCGATGATACTAAGTCTCAAAGCAACAGGACTGATCTTGGGCACGGTATTATAGTGATGGTGTTACGACTGTCAATCAAGATAGAATCAATATTACATGCCTTTTTCAATTCTACATTTCCCCTCTCTCTCGTCCTTCTTCCGGCCTGTCTGGATCACCACTCACGATGTGACAGTCGTAAGCACCCCTTGCGTTAACGAAATGCAGCACGAGGAACAATACGCCCGCAGAGTACACATCCGGAATACACGCCGCCAACGTGACAGTCAACAATCCTTCGTTCCGTTCCTTCGGCTCGAATTCACACCTTTCATACCAAACACGGCATGCGTAAATCTCACATGAAGTAATGAAGCCATTCGCTCCTAGCTAGACTCACTTCTCTTTCTCTTGACTGGCTGACCCCGATTGAACAGGGGATGAATATTCTAGCCACATGAAGAAGGTAGGCACACATCCCACTATGCCAAGCACCGCACAACCCATAGTTACCGAAAAGACTGGGCAGTTAACAAGGCTCACTGGGAATTGGTACCTGTATCAATCGCCAGTCAACTAAGCACCTGCGCTGTAGAAACAGCGCGTCTATGAACTAGCGCCACCTTTGTTCACCTTAGGTGGTTCCGGTCCTCGCCGCTGTAGGATCAGTCCCCGGGGTTCAAGAGGAGTGTTATCTCTTCTTTCGCTCCTCTACCCCTCCCTTCGACATGATATGCAATTGCTTACTCCTATGCGCCTTAAATCCACCAGACAGAATCGAGCGATCAGTCCGATTCCTTTGCCCGAGTTTCGAGCTAACCTTCCCCTTTGCTCACAAGCCGAGGGTTTGCCCCCTCAGTGTCGCGGAATGGATCCCATTTTGTACTTAATCGTCATGTTCTTGGCAATCCTCCTCATTCTTGGCGAATCCTTCAGCCATCCTTGTGTATTACTTAATTCGAGACCGCCGTATCATATTGGAATGTGAGGTCGACACCCGACGATGTAAACCAGGTATGCAAATGAGGCTTGACAGGATTTGGCAGGTGATACCATCGCAACTGACGATTACAAGCGATCACGGCATCGTCGGCAGAATCCTTCTTTTCGCTGTCGGTGATCAGAGCCCCGAGATTTCCGATCCACTATCGATATCATCCTGTCGGAAAGGGATGTCCAAGCCTCTTACCAGGGAGTATTCTCGAGCTGAAACCTACCTCCGGCATCAACCATTTCTTTGTCGAAAATGAAAGAGATCTATCAAAGTGTCTCAGATCAAGACTCAACCGACGATTTGTGCCCTACCGTAAGCTTACAATCATTGGAAACTCGCGTTCTCAGAAAACTGGGTAGTAGCTCACTGACGAAATCTAGCCAACATGGCATGAACCTCGACAAGTTCGAGGACAATGGAGCCTTCAGTCAAAGGTCATTACTGCGGTCAATGCGATATTCTTCCTCACATCATGCGGGGTCCTTCTCGTCTCTTCGAGATGGCTCAATGACCCGGTCCATCTGATGAAGCGCGTGTCACCCTACAGTAGGATAATCTTGTCTTACCTAAATTCAATCTCAGTCTTGCTGAAATGATTTGTGGCACAGGTCCAATTCTCGACGATGTTCCCATCCAGCTAGAAACAGTCGAGGTCAAAGGAACGTTGTTCAATGATTACACACCTCCACGCATATGGCGCGAGCAACCCAGTGAAGAGGTCGATAAAGCTTGGGACGACATGGCGCGGATTGAGTACTTTGGCATAAGTGGTGATGCACTCAGGAAAATGGGCAAAGATCCTGAGATATCTGTCTCTATCCCAGAGGAGTGGGGTGTCGGGTCGGACAAGTATCTCGTTGAAATTGACATGCAGCATCAACTTCACTGCCTCAATGCAGTTCGCAAGTATGCTTACTTTGACTACTACTACGGTAATGATTACAGGAACATGTAAGTCGTCTACTGGGGTCATCGAGCGACCGTATGTGAACGTTGGTTGACGATGGCACTAGCTCAATGGCGCCAAAACGACACCAGGCACACCTGGCACATTGTGTGAGTCGGAATCGCACACGGTATTTTCTTTTCACCCTTTCTAACATGTTCAACAGATTGATATCCTCTTACAAGCTCTCACTTGCAACCCGAGCTTGGACTTGATCTCCCATAATTGGATGAGAACACAGGAGAATCCGTATCCTGATTTCAACATCAAGAGGCAGTGTGTGGCGCACGACCCAATACTAAAGTGGCAGCATGAAAATGGCATCTCAGAGCAGATTCTGAAGTACAAGAACCTACCAAGGCCAGAGAGGTTTCCAGAAGTAGAACCGGAACCCTCCATCTTGAAGATCGGAGAAGATTTGGGTCATCACGAAGGACATCTTAGGCTTTGAATCGCTAATCCTCAATACCTCGAGGATACTTGCTTAATAATGCACCTATATGTACAAACAATCGTTGGTCCGGCACATTCGTAAATATCACCGGGGCACTTGTCAGGTAACTGAACCATATGAATTTGAATACAGTCAAGGACTACACAAATGGACCCCGTAAAAATGACTCCTCAGATAAATATATTGCACAGATTCGCAACCCGATTTGAAGAGGATGCTCTCTTCAATTCGTTGTCTGAGACACGACTTGATCCGCATGATCTCCATGTGCTTTGAACTTCCAAGTGTTGTGGAAACAACTCTCTGCACAACCCCTTTCGTGATCTTGATGAGGATCGTAATGATCACGGTTCTTCTTCAAACATGCCTCCTTCAAGTTGCCATGGTTGTTTTGTGGTTCGTAGTGTTCATCATTATGGAGACGTCGGTGTAGAGACTCGTGTAAGATGGCGTTGCGGGGTATATCTCGAGGACCGCCTTTGTTGAGGGGCCACTGGCAAAGCTTCCACTGTTTGGTCTTGTCATCGAGTTCCCATCTCTTAATAAGAGGGCAAATCTCTGCAAATGTTAAGTCATCATGTCAGCCACCTAGTCAAGATATGGATGATCCGAGAGTCACTTACCAAGCAGGTACCACATAAATGGCTTGAAGTAGCCCATTCCCTTTCCAGGCCGAAGAAGGTCATGGATCCATCCCTTCAGGGCCTGCTCCTGCTTCACCTGATCCTGGTAGATGCTTTGCTTGAATCTGTCCAAGCGTCTTGGCCGCCACTTCAGCCCCGTCTCATTCTTCTTACCGTTCTCCTCACTCTTCTTTTTGTACTCCTCGTCCGCGAGCTCAAGCTCGCGGATCATCCAAGAAAGAGGAATATCGCTCAGCTGCATATCCTCGCTATCATCGAGCTCTTCTTCCTTTCGTCCCCTCCCAAGCATTCTCAAAAACCTATTCCAAAGAGTTGGGGGGTTCAAGTAGTCAGGAATATCATCCGTTCTGAAGTCACCGTTTTTCAACTTTTCCTCCCTGATCCTCTGGAGCTCTCTGTCTTTCCATGTCGGATCATCCTTGATTGCCGACCAACCCCCACCAACATCGCCATGGTTTCCAGGGAACCACACTTCTTTGATGTCATCTTCAGCATGGCGGTGCCTTCCCTTGTTGGAAAGTTTGGTAATATCTTGCGCGAGAAGAGCAGGCTTGAACTTGACTCGGAACTCGTCCACAGCAACAGCATGGCGCACATAGGTTGCGGTACCCTTGACAGAGGCTGGCTTGTCGCCAACCTTCTCGAGGACTGCAACGGAGTTGACGCAGTCCCACATGCCGAGAAAGAAGACCTTGATGTTTTCTTTCCCGCAGTCGCCCTCTTCCTTGCGACAAAAGGTCTTGCTGAAGGCCTCCATCTCGTTTCTCTTGCCTCTTCTTCTCCAGCCCTTGGGCTTCTTGATTGCGTCATTGGAGCTGCTGATTCCGATGGGGAAGGCCTCATCAACGGGCGTATCTGGTGGACTCGCAGGCGTTTCGTAGGTACTGACGGTGGGGGCTTTCGTGTTCTTGGTTGTTTGGCCGCTGGTCTCTCGGGCATCAGTCGGATTGATCACGGTGGCCTTTTCTTCTTTGCCGCTCTTCTTGACTTTTGCTAGATGGTCTTGGTAGAGTTTGTATGCAAAGGGTACCATCTCTTCGTTACCCTTGCAGAGAAGACCAACGGTGTTGACCATGCGACACAGGAATCTGGCGGTGAAGGCCCCACGACTGAAGCCAAAGATGTAGATTCTGTCACCCTTGAGATAATCGTCAGCACCAGGAGTCGTTGAGTACACATCGTATCAAACCTACAGTCTCATAGTAGCGCATGAGGAACCGATATCCAGCAATGACGTGGGAATCGAACGTGGTCCCAAAGCCCATGTCGATCTTCTGAGAGATATTGCTGCGGACCTCGCTGACCCAGTTCTTGTTGACACTTGTGTCGTCAACGTCGTATGTTCCGATACCGGCTATTGTCAATAGTGTGTAAGAGATTACTATACCCAAAGAAATCCTCAGCGTTGACTCGACTTACTCTGGTAGTAGTGGTACTGGTGTTTCTCATTGCGATCGAGCATACGCAGGAGCTTCACGACATTGGTGTCAGAGCCGGAGCCACTGAACGAGTTGCCTGTGCCATCGAAGCAGAGAACGAGCTTTCTGCTCTCTGTCTGTGCTTCAGTCTCGATAGACGCCATGGTGATGCTTGTCTCCAGCGGATGGAATCAGAGGAATGATACTGCAGAACGCTGGGATTTCGAGATGAACTTTGATTCTCTAAAACTCCCTTGCAGCCGGGCTGGCCGAGCAAGGGCGTCCGCATCAATCATATATGCATTTCCACCGCCAACAACAACAAGTTAAAAGATTCCACGTGATCCAAGTTCTTGCACTCTTCTCGATGTTGTTGCTCGCAATGAAAAACATCCAATCGCAGACTGGAACGCTACCAGAGTTCAGCCATGATTCCTCTGTCCCTTATTCTCCATCCCTTTCGGGATGGAGATCTCAGCCCTGTATCACAGTCCTGGAGACTAAAATGTCTTTCCGGTCCTATCTTCTTGCAACGGATCGTAAAGCAAATTGCGTTTTCAGAATCCGGCCTCTGCATGTGTGTTAATAGGTGTATAACACAGGGAAGAAGCTTATAGAGGCTAACTGCTATTAGGGTCTAAAAGATAAATTACTAAAATCTGCCCTTCCTCGAGGTATATTACTAACGCTCTATATATACCTAAGCTACTTTTTTATTACTTAGTCCCCCTCTTTATACCCCTCGAGCTATTCCTTAATTAACGAGGTCTAATTAGCGAGGCTTAATAGGGTACTCCCTCCCCTAGGCTTTGTCCTAAAGGCCGCTTATAGCTTATATATATTATATTAATTTTTTATTTATAAAGTTTTTTAATATACGGTACGAGGGTAGGTAAAAGCGGCGCTTATTAGCCTAAGTATAGACCCTTATTTTAAATAATAAATTTAGTTAGCTTTATAATTTTATACTTAGGTCGTTCTTATTTATAGTCCGTTTTTATAACTACCGGTACTTAAGTAGTCGTTACCTTATTTTTATTTACTAATATTAACCCCCTTTTAAACTACTACGATTCCCGATTTTTTTTTTTTTTTATTCGTAATTATTTTAATTATATATAGTCTCTTATTTTTATTAGCGTTTATACTACTTTTTTATTACGTAGATTTTATAGCTAACGAATGTTTTTTAAACTTTTTAATTTTTTATACTCCCTATATCTAAGTTAGTTTTTTTTAAAGTTATACCGTATTTATTATTAATTCTATTTTAATATAAGTATAGCTCTTTTTAATAACGTTATTATAATTAGTAGCGGACTAGTTATTAACGTTACGGGTACGCTTAGTAGTAGCGGTAATAGCCGTTTACTTAAAAAGCTTAATATTCCTTTTACTTACCGTAACTTTATATATATATTATTATTTATACGCTACTTATATTAACTATTATAGACTCTTATTAAGAAAAAAAAGAAAGTAAACGTTAAGAAAATCGTAATTAACTAGGTACGCTCGCTCCTTTACCCTGTTTATATTATATATAAAGTATTTAATTTAAAAGTTAAGTACTATAATTAGCTAAGTTAGTAATTTATAGCTCTTAGTTCGCTCTTTTATTTAATATTTTTTTAGGATTTAGCGCGCGTTATATAAAGTATACTATATAGAACTATTTTTATAAGGATATAATAAGCGCTTAGTATTATTATTATTTTATTATTCTTTTTATATATTAATTAATAATATCTTAGGTCCCTAAGTCTGCGGAGTTTATAATACGAACTTTTTAGAGTATTACTCTTATTTTAAATAATAACGTTTATAATTTAGAAGTTTATTACTCTATTATTGCTCTATTATTATTATTATTTAGGTTATTAATATTACTTTATAGCTTTAATAAACTTATAAAATTACTATTAATAATACATAGAGGGCGCTTAAGCGCGCTAATAAAAAGGCCCGTTTTACTCCCGTTATTAATAGTAATAATAATAAAATAAATATAAGCTCCTCTCGCACTACGTTTTTATTTTATAATAATATAATAATTATATTATTACGTATTATTTATAACGAAGTACGCTATTTAAATAATATTTTAAAAGGGGTATAGTCGCCCCGCCTATACTCCGTATTCGTAGCTAATTATTTATAAATTTATTAATAATAAAATAACTACTTTTTTTTTAATAATCCTAAAGATAAGGATAAGGGCGGCCCCTTTATACATAAAGGCAGTCCTCCCGCGGGTTATAAAGATTAGGGAAATTATTTATAATTAGTACATTTATATTACTTAGTTATAGCTATATAACCCCCTTTTTTTATTATTAATAGCTAGTTCGCTATATTATTAAGCTTATTAAGAACTAGGGCGCGCTACTTAATTAAAACTCGTTTTTTATATATATTAATTAACGTTATATTTTTAATATACTTAGCTAGCTCTTACGTATTTTTATCGCTACTATATCCCTTTTACTAGATTAGGTATTATTACTTCCTTTTTAGCCCTCTATATTATATAATATTTTTTATTTTATAAAGTAGTTCCCTATTTATATCCCTAATAAGTAAGGGCTTCTAAGGGGCTTTTTTATAGTATTAATATAGCTTAAGTAGGGATATATAAAATATATTATATATTTTATATTATATTAGTACGTTTAGTTAGTAAGTTACTCCCGCTATTCTAATTATTAATTTAATTTTAAATAGGTTTAGATATTTATTAATTAACTTTTAGCTAGGGCGCTACTTTTTAATATTTTTTTTTAATAATAATACTTAGTTACTTATTTTATATAATATATTTATTTTAGCTTTATTAGCTTATTACTTATATATTTCGTATACTTTTTATATAAAGGGTCGTAAAGCTTTTTTAGTTAGCTCGTAATTAAGCCGTACGCTCTTTAACTAAGATATTTTATATACTATCTTAAGTCCTTATTAAGATTAATATAGGGTAAGTAAGTAAAAACCTAAGTAGGGCCTTAATAAGCGCTTTATAAATTACTAAGTACTAAGCGTTATTATATATAAACTTAGCTAAATAAAGACGCTATACTTAATCCGATTAGTCTTAAGTATAGAAATAGTAAAAGTACTACTCTAAGTATTAGTTTTATTATTCTATTTAACTATTTATTTATAAGTAAAATGTAGTATTAAAATACCTCTTTATTATTAAAAAGTAGTAGAAATAAGTTTAAAACTTATTTATAAATAACGAGCCCCTATTAAAAACGATCTTTTTAAGTATTCTAAACTTTATAAAGATTTTTATAAATAGGAGGTTTGCGAATCCCTAGGCTATAAGGGTCGTCTTTATAGTAATATAAATACTATATTTTATAAATCGGTTTATTATAATAAGTACTACGTTATAGGGGCGCTTTTTAATTAACGTAGTTAATATGGGTAAGCTTATAATAAAGTTTAGTAATATTTCTTATTATAGCTTAACTAAGGTAAGTAGGGGGCGTAATAAGCTATACGGCTTATAATAATAAGGCTTCGTTTACTAATATATTATATAAATATTAATATAACTTTTTATATCCCTACTTATTTTATTTTAGTAATAGTAGCGTTTTAATAGCGCTATTATTCGCTTTATATTATAATATCCTACTATAGGTATATTATAATATATTTTAATAACCTCTTTTTTTAGCCCTTTATATAGTAGTATATAGGTATAGCTACTATAATATAATAGCCCTTTTAAGTCGTATACTTAGCTCTATTATTACTTTTTTTTAACTAAGCGAGGCTATTAGTTTTTTTTAATCTATTACTTATTTTTTATAAAAGCGTCTTTTTATTAAGTAGCTCGTAGTTAACTTATTATTAATAACCCCTCTTTATTAAATACTATTTTAGGTACTCTTATTATATCAGAGTTTTATAAAATAAGTAGTTCGCGATTTATAGTTCTAATAATAGGCTTAAGTAGCTCCCTAAGTACTATATTATAATTTTAATACTTTAGGTTCGTAGCCCCGTTATACCTCTTAAAGTACTTTTTAGGGCTCCCTTAAGCCGGAGCTCTTAACTTTTTTTACTTATTTCTCTATATTATTATTAATTTTGTTTTTAAAATACTTACTATCCTTTTTATTTAAAAGCCGCTCTTATAGCTCGTTTTTATATATTTTATTATTACGACTTTAAAGGGCTCTTATATATTTTTAATATTATATAGGTCTTTTTTTATTTTTAATAATAGCTCTTTTACTCTATTATCGTTATTATTTTTATTATAGTTAGGTTTTTATAATAGTCTATTTACTAAGTTTTTAATACTTAACTTAAACTTAATTTTAATATTAAACATTATAAGTTTATTTAGTTAGCGTAGCTATTTCTTATTTAGCCTCTTTTTAGTATTTAGGAACTATAAATTAAAATAGTTTATAAATATTACGACCTAATCTCGGCTATAAATAAGGTAGTATTATAAGTTTTTTAGTATATTTATAATAATTAGTAGCTCCGTATTTCTTATACTATAGCGGCTCTTTATATTTATTAATTTCTTTAATTTATAAGTAATTAGGTACTAATTACCCTTAAATAATTACGTAATTACTAAGCTAATAGCTCGAGCCGAAGTATTTATTTATAACTACGTAGGTAGGGTAAGGTCGAAATATCGTAGTATTAGTATATTAATAAATATTATTAATAACTTCTTAAATAACTTTATAATAAGTATTAATAGCTCTAACTATCCTAATTTTACTTTTTTTAATAAGTTTATTAAAAGTATAGTTATTTTAATATAGTTATTAATAAATTTATAGTAGAACTTCGTAAATTTAAAGAACGTTTATATATTTTTAATACTCTTTAGAAATAGCTAATTTATTATAGCTTCGGTACGCGCGGGGTCTATTTTTATATTTTTATTAAATACGATATATTTTAAAAATCTTATATATAATATATAGAACTCGTATTTATTACCGTTTAAATATAGGTTTTATTATTATAGTTTTTATAATACGCTACGTATGTGCTCTTTATATACTACGTAGTTATTATTATATATTAGGATATTATTTAAGTATATAATATAAATAGTATTAATTAGGCCGCTTAGAACGTTATTAATATATACTTAGAAAGTTACGGGTACGTTAGTTAACCT